AAGTTGTGACTTGCGCCACTATCCACCAAGATGGTCACTGTGAACCCCTCAATTACGCCTCTGAATCGCATAGTACGAGGACTAGAAATTCCCGCCATTGAATATACGGGTAAGTCCATGGCCGCTGCCTGTTGCTCCTCCTGTTCCCCTAGCTGCTCAACCTCTTCAGATGGAATAAAGGATTCAGTTTGGTTGAGGTCAAGTTCCTCATCTTCCTCCGCCACCATTACTCTTAACTGTTTTAAGGGACATTCATGCCCAGGGGTATAAGGCTTCTTGCATCGAAAGCAAAGTCCTTTTGCACGTAGGTCTGCCAATTCCTGCGGTGAGAGGCGTGTGAACCGAGAGCGATTCACTGACTGACCAGTCATGGTTGACCCGGTCCCTGATGCACGGGCTGAAGATTGCAAGGAAGCTGTGCCTCCTGCTGCCCCTTGGGTTCCAGTAATTGGCGAGGAAGAAAACCCGCCAACTTTGGTGTAATTACTGGAACGGTACTGCTGATTGTTGTAACCCCGTTCCATTCTCCCTCCGGACTGTACGGCTAAGTTGTCTTCGATATCCTTGGCCAACTCCATAGCAACCTCCAAATCAGCCGGCCGTAGGAGCCGTAAGGAACTGCGAATGGTGTCTCGTAGCCCTTTCATAAAGTACCCCAAGTAGTGGGCATCACTCAAACCTGGGACCTGACTGGCTAGTTGCACGAATACATTCACATAATCTTCCACGGACCCTGTCTGCTTAACATCGGCCAACCGTTCAAATGTGCTCCCTTTGAATCGCGTATCAAAACGGGCTACAAGGGCTTGTGAAAACTCCTCCCAGGTTATGTCCGGTCTCCGTGATCGTGTCCATGAGAACCAGTACAGAGCCGGTCCCTCCATGGCTACCATGGCAGTCGCTACCTTCAACTCGGGTCGGGTGTGGTGGATTTCGAACTGTTGGTTAGCCCGGGCGAGCCACCCAATCGGATCTGCCCCCTCAAAACCTGGTAGCGCTAGTGGCGCGATCACAGCCCCTGGGTTTTGTGGTGTTTGTGTTTCGCCCACTGTGCCAGCCGTGCTTCCCACTCCTAAATTGGGATTAATCGGCGGTTCGTCGGTAGCCATAACCTTCTGTGTCAGTTTGTCCAATATGGTGGTGATAGCATCTAACTTGGCGTTTGTGGAGTGCACTTCTGCCCTAATGTCTCGCTGTTCTGCCTCCATCGCATCAATGCGTTGCTCAATGGTAGAGCGAGTCATGGTGAGTAGTAGGATGGTGGATGGGATCCGGCAGGTCGGACCAAATTGATAGAAGCAGAAAAAGAAACCCTAGCAGACGGTGTTAACGACTGCCCAGCCTTAGGCTCAAACCAAATCTTTATTCTCGATCCTCAAAAATAGTTCACAAGACCTCCTTAAATATTCCTTAACCTAGTAATAAATTATGGCCATCTAGGCCCAACAAGCTAATAATAAAATATGGCCCAACAGTTTAATAGAAATAACAATTGAATAAAATAAACTAATAAAACCCAGCAGTTAATCCAGCCCATCTAGGCCCGCTGGCGGCGACGGTAAACCAATAATGGGCGAGGCCCATCCTTCTGAAGTATTGGACCCTCCTGGGCCATCGGCCCAACTGTCTCCTGCTCTCTAACAGACTACAAGCAGAGAGGATACTTATGAAAATGACATCATTTGGCCTTATTCCAGAATCTACCATTTGAGTAAAGAGTGATATTGTGGCATTGATATGACCGTGCATGCCATAACCGCCTATCATCGCACTCCATGAGATTATACTTTTCTCGGCAATTCTCTCAAAAACCTGTTGAACCGTTCGAAGGTCTCCACATTTAGCATACATTTCTATCAGAGCTGTGTTGATGTACAAATCGTACTTCACTACACCAAAGACGATCAGCTTATCATGAATCCAAAGGGTATAGATATAAACTAGTAGATGAAGATGAGAGTTACACATGATAAACTAGCAGTATAGATATAAATGTTTGGATTGTATAGAGTATATAAGAAGAAGCAGATGCTGAAAAAAAGAAGAAAGAAAATGGAACAATGAAGAGAACTGCACATGATAGACTACTATACTGGTAGTTTACGTATATGTGTTTGACTTGTATAGAGTTTATAAGACAAAAAGATGATGAAAATAGATAAAAACAAAGAAAATGGAATAATGAAAGAGAAGAAAACTTACTGTCATTGATCGTTGAGTGCTGCCAGCTTATGCGGTTGATGTGGGGGAGGTAACGAGCACTGAGGTAACGTGAGCAGAGCAGAGCAGGACAGTTGAAGTAGTGAACTTAAATATGGGCTTTTTATTTAAAATAGTATGAAATTTAAATATTAGGCTTAAACATGAGTTTCCTATTCAGGAGAGAATAGCGAGCACTTTTCAGGGCTTCTGCGCCTAACCTGCACCTTACACAGGGAGCTGCGCCTGGTCGTTGTTCAGTCACTAGGGCTGGTGTGTGCTGCCCCTGGTGCGCTTAAGCGCCCAGGCACTTGCTTTTGACTACACTGCACCAACCATGAATTGTCCATGCTCATTTCTAAGAAAGGATCCTCTAATAGCCCTACTATTAATAAAGATCTGGGTTCTCTACTTGAAAAGTACTCGCAACTAGGGTACTGGCCTTGCCGAGTAGCTAGCTAACTCGGTCCATGTTTTATTTTCGAGTTTCTCGCCAAGTACTCGGCGAGTTTCTCAACTCGGTGAAGTTTTCAACTCGGCGAGTTACTTGTTCTTACTCAGTCCCTGATAAAATTGAAAATTTATGTTACAAAACCTAGATTAAACGGAGTTCCGGACATCAGCTAGCCTCAAAGAGCTGCGACTAGTTCGCATCTTCTTTCTCGTATCTTCTCATCTTCCCTCATTACTTCTTTTTCCCCCTACCGTCTTTCTTTACCAGTTGTTCTTTTCCGTGTTCTTAAAATATCACCATCTTGATTGTTTAATATTGATATGCACATATATGGTGATATAAAGAAATTCTTTTCACCAGTATGACTATATATATTATAATACGTAACTTTTAAATAATATCACTATATTGATTGTGTACTATGGCACATCATTGATCGATACATACTGACACACATCATCTAATTGGCAGTCATGAACTCTGCTTAGTCTGCTAAGGCTTCTAATTAATGGTGTTGAATCTGCTAATACTACCTACACTTAAGAGAAAATCAAATGATGTAGGATGGCCGTGGGGAGAGAACAGAGATCCTACCAAATTATTAGATGAAAAAAAAATTGGACCATTTCTCGATATGTGCGTGTCATCCTTGCGCAGGGGCCATGGTAATCTTCTCTGTATCCTACCAAATTATTAGATGATTGATTTTCTAGAAAACTTGGAATGTTTATGACTTTTGCCACTCCATCATTAGGATTTCTATCATTTTATTCATTTACTACTCACTACTCGTCCCTTGACCGAGTCACTATCGAGTAGCAAGTTAACTACCTAGATAAAGATTGCTTTCACACTAAGTTATAGATATGCTTGTTTCGTCTAATCTATTCAACCACACTAATTCTTAGCCTTCGTGTTTGAAAGATAGGAGGAAGAAACTCTGCAATCTTGTGCACTTGTGCTCCTATTGTTTCACGGTTTTCACAAAATTCCTTTGAAATATTCCAGTAGATAATAACCAACTATTTCTTTTTTCAGTGAATCATTGGCAGCATTTTCGAGTGCAACAATACCATCAAATGTGACTCCCATTATCATTTGAAGGAATGACATATGCTAGAAGCGTAGTCCCAAAAACATGAGAGTTCAAAGTTGAAAAAAGGATTTCAACTCTAATATAATAGATAAACATCAAAGTTTAAATTCAGAAGATAATTCAATAGATACTCATACTCCTAGTGTTTTTTATTACTTAAGGGAATAAAATTTAAACTGAAGTAGTGAACTCGGATAGTAAAACTCCACTTCATCATTAGTTTCCATTACTATATTCTAATATCAAGAAACTTGAAAGAACAAAACAATAAAAGGAAAAGAAGCAATCGCATTACTCTTAAACCATTAGCAGTACTCATTTTACAAGTTATATACTTATATTATCACGTAATTTATGGTAATACGTAGTGCATCATAGCCAAAGTTTGGAATAATGGAAAATCACTATTTCACAGGTTGGAATAAAAAATTATCACATCATCAAGTTAGTTTACAGATTGGAAGTCATACGAATCAAAGTAAAAATTGAATAACTTTCACCCCCAAAGTGAACTTTTTTGTTTACACCCAGGACGAGACCAAGTTCTTCAATTTAAAACGTCCATAATACCAAGAATCCAACATCGATATATATCTAACAACTGAATATATTCATGTAGATGCTTCTTATAAAACTAAAATAGACGAAATCATAGTATACTAAAAGCTGAAGCAATATTTAAGCTAGCTTCTTGGCCAGAATGTTAATATGTTATAATAAATAACATACATATATATTACTCCCTCCGTCCCAAAATGATGGTCCTGTATTTCCTTTTTGGGATGTCCCAAAATGATGGTCTTGTTTCCCTTTTTGGTAAAGAACTAAAAGTGAATTACCATTTATACCCCTCCCTTTTAATGAACAGTAAAAGTAAAAGGATGAGCAATACAATAAAGTAAGGTTCTTTAGTTTTCTACCACACTTTCTTAATCTTTGTGCCCAAAAGAAACAAGACCATCAAATTGGGTCGGAGGGAGTATTAACAAGCATTTAAGCATACTGCAAAAACATGCTACCCCTCTTATATGTCTAGTTACATGTAAACAGTCTTGCTTACCTTGAAAAACTAAAAAAGGATGCTGAAAGATGTTTTTACTTTATACCATCTATCTTAAAACCGGCCTGGTGCACATTGGCATCCCTGCAAGGTGAGGGTTTGGGAAAGGGTACCACCACAAAGGTCTGCCTCAAAAACAAAAACAACAACAAAATCCAAACTGTGTTCTTCTGACTTAACTCATGCCAGAAGATCCTCAAAAGGTAATCAAATTCATATGCAACTGAAGCAAGTATAATCAACAACGGATCAACCTGATGTCACCATATTCACTATTTTGTATACATCAGCTCATCCAACACCAAACATAAAACTCAATCCAAAAATAAGACATAGACATTATGTTGTCTAATTTGAGAAACAATTACCAGAAATCAGATAAAGGTGTCTCCTACAAGGCTACAAGTAATTGCATCTTTTTCACCAACGCTCTCTAGGCCGACCATCAGGGAAAACGGGTATGGCAAGAACCTCCTCATCCTTCCTCTTTGGTTCGTAAATCATTCTGACTGGTTTTACACTTTCCGGGTTTATAAGTTCACCATCATCATCAGTAAAGTCAGGGGGCAAATCATCATCACCGTCATCGCTCCACTCACCTTCATCAGGGTAATCTTCATTATCATCTTCATTTTCATCTTCGTCATCAAATCCATCACTCACTAAATTTTCAATGCCTGACTCCTCTCCACCATCCCATTTACTTTTATTTTTAACACTTTTATTACTACTATTATCATTATCATAATCAATGCTTCTCCTAATAGACCGTTGAACAGAAACAAGAGAACGCATCTTTTCCTTTATGAGCAATAATCTATCCTTCTCTATTAATTGAGAATTGTGATATGCTTCGCGGAGAAAGACGGAGTCCCTACTACCTTTCAGAGAGACATAGAACATGTCTGGGTGCCTGATCAACATCCCTCTCAGCTGCTGAGAAAACCGAAACTCCTCGCGAAAATGAGTGAGATTGTCGATGAGGGTGCGTTTCTCTACCGTGAGGCTCAATATCTCATGCACCACGCTGCATGCATGTTTTTCTTTCTCCGGGGTGCCGGAATTGTACATGGAGAAGTTGGAGTATGGCGAAATGTAAGGCATATCTCTGAACTGACATATTCTTCTCATGTCCCCCTTAGAGAGATTAAGACCCTTGGGCAACTTCACCCTGTCAAACTTTGGCAATCTATTGATGATCAAATTCCTCTCTTCCCTTTCGCGTTGTCGCCTCTCCTCATCCTCAACCTCGGCCACGGACACAGCAAGCTCTGGATCCCAATCAGTCAACTCCAAAGCCGGGCCCCGTTCGGTTTGAACCACCTTGAAGTATTGCGGGTATCTGACACAAATGGTGTCACGGAACTCTAAAGGAAGCCCAAAATCAGTCTTCAAATGTGCAATCTTCTCCAAGAGAATCCGCTTATCTAGAGACATCATTAGTAGTTTCCTAAGCTTAATCACCAACAAATCCTCCATCGCATTCCTAGCTTGCATCTCCTCTAAATACAGTCTCTCTGCCTCCGGGGTTAGCTTAAACTTCAGAGAATAAGCACCTTCTTCTACTACCTCAAATACAGCGGGGAACTTTTTCAACAGGGCAATGAATCTTCTTTTTTTATCGAGGCCCAATGCTTTCCTGTACCTACCTAATTCGCGGAGTGCCATGATTCTGTTGGGTTGGCTCATCAGAAGCTTCCTGATTTTTAAAACAAGTTTCAGTTTCTTTTCCCTTTCAATCACATTATCAAATTGGATCTCTTTCCTCCTCTTCACAGAAGCAGCTCTGATGGGAAGGATGGGGAAACGGGGTTTCCACAAGTTATCACCAAAGGGTTCAGTCTTTCCTTCAAAAAAATCCAAGCTTTTTCCAACGAACCAAGTCATCTGGAAGTGTTGTTTACTTACAGAGAGATGAGAGGCCGATGAAAGGTTTGATTTTTGAAGTAGTGAGCATTTATATGAGAGGAAGACAGGCAAAACACCATAACACGTCATTTTTAGTGAAGATTAAAAAAACGAACCCCGTTCCAAGGAAGCCTTCAGATGAAATGATTACTGCATCAGATAACCAGACTACCAGTAGGATTCCCAGAGGCAAATCTGCGATATTCACAAACTCACTTCCCCGAACTTGCAGGTCGAGCAGAGGATGAATGGGATACATATAGTTAGGGCTACGAAGGGAAAAAAAAAAACAATTAAGGAGTGTTTGGATATGATTCTTGAAAGTGGCTTCTGCTCGTAACAGAAGTAGAAATCGGAGTGTTTGGGTGAAAGTGTATCTGGTGCTTTAATTTATTTCCAGAATCAATTTTTTTAGAAGTTGGGGTGACCAGCTTCTGAAAACTGATTCCGATTCTGCTTTAACAAAGAAGCAGAATCAGAATCAATTCCAAACACCCCCTAAGTTATCATAAACTCTTAAACAATACTCTTGAAAGATGGAAAAATGGGTGGCGTACACAACTTGTTTACAGGGGACAGACATGTGGACAAAAAACATGTACACATTTTGTGTACACCTAGCTTGAAAAATAATAAAAAGGACAGTAGGCGATTAATTGAAAAATACTCAATTGAAAAATATTCAAAATGACAATAGGCGATTAACCGGTTTTTTGAATGGGTGAGCAACCGTTTTAAATAAATAGATAAAAATAACAATGTAATTGGTGGATTAGTGGATAACCGTTCAGAAAATTTATAGTGTATATAACAAATTGTATTGTGGAATCGACCTACGGTGAGCAACTTAATCAAAAAAATATTATTATCACGTTTAAAACAACATTGAGTAATATTATTATCATCCAGGTAAGGCTAACGTGGTTGCTGATGCTCTCAGTAGGAAAAGTTCATCAGGGGTTTTACTCACATGCTTACAAGCATTGAGGGCACACGTGGAGGTATCCACGAATGGGGCTCTATTGGCCAGATTTGAGGTGAGACCCACCCTATTAGACGAAATCAGAACGCGTCAAGGCAATGACGAGGAAATTCAGAAAATCCGGGAACGGATGCTGGTGGGACCCGTCGAGGGTTTCCGTGAGAGAGAAGATGGACTCCTACTATTCAAGGAGCGAGTGTGTGTGCCGTCAGATGAGGAGCTCCGAAAATCTATTCTTGAGGAGGCTCACTCATCTGCGTATGCCATGCACCCAGGTGGAACAAAGATGTACCGGGACTTGAAAGAAAGTTACTGGTGGTCGGGGATGAAGAGAGAGATTGCTGATTATGTGAGTCGTTGCCTTACCTGTCAGCAGGTTAAGGCAGAGCACCAGCACCCGGCAGGGTTATTACAGCCACTTACCATCCCAGAATGGAAGTGGGAGCATGTTACTATGGACTTCGTGGTAGGTTTGCCACGGACGGTTAGGAACTTTGATGCGGTATGGGTGGTGGTTGATAGGTTGACCAAGAGTGCCCATTTTCTACCTATCAACACTACTTATACGCTTGAGCGACTGGCCAAGTTATATACTGATGAGATCGTGAGGCTGCATGGGGTTCCGGTCATTATAGTGTCGGATAGAGACCCACGGTTCACATCACGGTTTTGGCCTAAGTTCCAGGAATCCATAAGGACGAAGTTGAGGTGTAGCACAGCTTTCCATCCTCAAACGGATGGGCAATCTGAACGGGTGATTCAGATTTTGGAGGACATGTTGAGGGCATGTGCCTTGGAGTTCTAAGGAAGTTGGGATAACCAGCTGGCTTTAGTAGAATTCGCCTATAACAACAGTTATCAGGCAAGTATAGGCATGCCTCCATACGAGGCATTGTATGGGAGGAAATGTCGGACACCTTTGTGTTGGGATGAGGTTGGCGAGGCCAAGCTTGAGGGTACTGAGCTAGTTGAGATCACCAAGGAGAAGGTGAAAGTTATTCAGGATAGGCTCAAGGCTGCCCAAGATCGACAGAAGAGCTACGCAGATAAACGTCGGAGGACGTTGGAGTTTGAGGTCGGTGATGAGGTGTTTCTGAGGGTGTCACCTTGGAAAGGGATCATCAGGTTCCTCGGTCGGGGTAAACTTAACCCACGTTACATCGGCCCATTCAAAATCATTGAAAGGATTGGGGTGGTAGCGTATCGACTTCAATTAACTCCAGAGTTAGAAAAGATCCATAATGTATTTCATGTTTCTATGCTCAAGAAGTATGTACGGGACCCGTCACATATTCTTGAGAAACCGCCGGTAGAAATCCGGGAAGACCTTCACTATGCGGTGCAGCCGGTAAAGATCATGGACCGACAGGTAAAGAAGCTAAGGAGTAAAGAGGTACCCATGGTGAAGGTGCTTTGGAAAAGTGATCGTGTCGAGGAGCAAACTTGGGAAGTGGAGACCCTGATGAGGGAACAATATCCATTCCTGTTTGACTAAACACGTGGATTTCGGGGACGAAATCCCAAATAAGGGGGGTAGAACTTGTAACACCGCCCCCAAGTATTTGTACTTTATCAAGTTATGTATTGAACCCGAGAAATGAATAAACGCATTTTACGTGATTGTGAATTTTTATCATTTCTTTTACGTGAATAGTAAAATTCACGTGGGGCCCACACCGGAAGTGGGGGCCGTCCGATATTATCGGGACCACATATTATATTCGTTTGGGTCAAGATAATATGTGTATAATGGTGGGTATCCTTGATGGACCATATAAATTATGTGAGTAACAGTTTGGGCATATAAAGCCCATTTATCGGTACCGATGTGCTAACAGATAAAAAGCCATGATAAATTATGGAGACCATCAAATTAAAAGTTGGGGATGTGCATTCATTCTTATAGCCAATAATAATTGGAAGAATGATAGATATTTCATTTTACCCGATTAAATGAAATATAGTTAAAACAGTCCGGAAAATACAACTTTCGGGACCAAGTGTACACTTGGGGACACAAAGGGATGACCTCCCACATATGTGGGGGCCACCCCACGTTTTTAGTCTTGCAAATAGCAAGGGGAGCCGCATCAATTGGCTGGTGAAGTGGGTTGAAGTGATTGGGGGACAAAGTATGAAAGGAGATAAGACCCTCCCTCATATTATTGTGAATAAGCCAAAGAAAGGAAGCTACTCTCACTCCCACACCTCACCCATTCGACCAGACCTCAATCAAAGGGAGAGAGACCTTTCTAACACACCATTTTCCATCTCCATTTTCGCACAAGGCAAGGGAAGGAAGAAGAAAGGAAAAAGAAGAAGAGAAAGAAGGAAGTTAGGAGGAAAAACTTGTGGTTAACAAGGTAAGGGCTCCATTAATCCTTTTCCTTTTCTTTAATCTTCCAATATGATTATGTAATCATATTTCATGCCCATAGAACTGTTCTTCACATTAGATGTGAAGAATGAGGGGTTGGAAGATTGGTTCATATCCAAAACGGATTTAGGGAACAAAGTTGACCGATTCGTCGGGGAGTAACCTTTTAGAGGTTATTTGTGTTGATATGGGTTTTATGATAATAAAACCTTGTTATTAACTTGTATAAGGTATCTCAAGAACTTTCACGGGGTTGAAAGGGTCGCCGGAGTTGGTTGAAGTTCACTGGAGTTTCACCGGAGCTCAATAAGGAAGGCTAGAACTTCATAAGCTTCATTAAGGTGAGAAGACGGCTATATGCTTTATAACTTTTGCGTAAGGCATGAGATTACCTAAAGTAATCAAAAACATGTTTTATGGAATGATTGAAGATAATCAAGTATTTGCTTATGCCATGTTTAACCATAAAACATAGTTGAAAAGCATGTTATGTATGTTTGATGATTTAAAATGTGATAATTTATTATGTACAATATTCCAGGGATCCAAAATGGTATTTTTGGATCAAGGATGACAAGAAGTACATGTGTATAAAATTTCACGTTAATCGGACTTCGTTTGGGCGGTCAAACGGGCGTTGACCACCGAGACAAGGGTGATACCCGACCGGGTATGGGTATATACCCGACCGGGTATTGATTAAAAATGGCTCCAGAAGCCACTGCCACACCCGACCCGACCGGGTAAGGTCATGGACCCGACCGGGTCTCAAGTAAAATCAGTTCCAGGGGCTTCTGCCCGCCCTACCCGACCGGGTAAGGTTTGATACCCGACCGGGTCTTGGGTTATACTCAAAACGGGTAGTTTTTGAGTAGGATAACGTGGACCGATCAGGTGGGACCCGTCCACGTTGGTTACTAAGGATTGTTATATGACTATAGGACTAGGTATTGTCCATAGTTAAGTGAATGAAAGGTTAGCCATATCCAGGTTAGGGTTTGGTTAGAAATAAGGTTGAGGTTGAGTATCCTCGGGACGGTAAACGATCCCAAAACTCGGTGAGGTTGAGTATCCTCGAGACGGTAAACAATCCCAGAAACTCGGTGAGGTTGAGTATCCTCGGGACGATAAACAATCCCAGAAACTCGGTGAGGTTGAGTATCCTCGGGACGGTAAACAATCCCAGAAACTCGGTGAGGTTGAGTATCCTCGGGACGGTAAACAATCCCAGAAACTCGGTGAGGTTGAGTATCCTCAGGACGGTAAACAATCCTAAAACTCGGTGGGGTTGAGCATCCCCGGGACGGTAAACACTCCCGAAACTCGGTAGGATATTATGAAGGTAGAATGTAGCCCTTGAGCTAGGCATTCAGGAAAGAAAGGGGAAAGGTTGGGTAAACACCTTATCTCTAAAAGACTTTTGTGAGGAAACGACCTACGGGTCAAGTATTTTACAAGTATATACAGTATGTATTATCTTGGGAATGGGGTAATAATGGTTACACCTATATATATATATATATGTATCATCCTATTTTTGGGTCTCGTGTCTGAAACATTAGTTATTCCTCATATAGCCTGCTTGTCACTAGTACTTCTATGGAGTACTGACCCCTTCGGGGGCCCTCACATTTTTCAGGTTGAGGCTAGAGTCCTACTACCTGCACCTTCGCCTAGGGTGATTGATCAAGGAGGAAGACGTGGTTCGTGCTTCCATTCGTATTCAAAATTGATAAACTGCTCATGAATATTTTTAACAATGTCTTCTTTTAAAACATTTGGGGGCCTGCGTGCCCGTATTTGCCACGTGTGGCTAAGCATCAAACATATCTTATTTTCCGCATTTGTTTGACTAATATATATATT